AAGGAGCTAAGCTAAGCTGTAGAAAGAAGTACTTTTACCTTTGTTGAAATATTCGGGTGTTTGAGGATTGGTTATGCATTGTTTGATTGGTTGGTAACTAACAAGGGTAAATTTGGAAGCTAATTTTCAAAAAAACGGTCTTTTTAACTTACTTTTGGCTTATAACTAAATACGTGAATTTCGTAAATTTCTACGTACGTACTTAATTGGAAATGCAAGGCTAGTTAAAAAGACCGTTTTTATGAAAATTTGCTTTGCAATAAATTTTCGTAAGACCGTTGTTATAAAAACTCACTTTGTAATAAATTTTAATAGCAACTAATTCTCGATCATGATTGGCTAATTTTGGGTGAAACCAAATCGGTGGATATGATATTCATGAAATACCGTATAGTTCTAAACCAATTTTGGCCTGCATTATGATGATCTTGGCCAGCATTAGATGCAAAAAAGGTGTGCTTATTTTCAGAACTATACAGTAGTTAGACTAACTTAAACGCGAATAAATGAAGATCTGAATTAACGCGAATAAAATAAAATCTAAAATTAGCATTAAGAAAAAAATAAAAATAATAAATAATTATGAACTTGAATAGCATATTTTTTAAATTCTTAGATAAAATTCGAATGGCCTATTTTATATTAATAAATATATATATAATAAATATTCTTGGTTCTGTATCACTTCACTGACACTCATTTTGTAGATACAACACTTCGCCGACAATCCGCCGACATGTTTATTTTACAGGCAATCAATGCGGACAAGTTCATTTAATAAACAGTTGATTTGTTCGATAAGCTTATTTCGTAGGCAGTTCTTTCGCTGACAGCTCATTTCACAGAAAAGTTTTTTCCTATAAATTACACTAACTTAGTTCTAAACTAACTCCAATGACAATTACTAGAATCACTTTGTCGGTGAAAAAAACTATCTACAAATAAGCTTGTCGGTAAAATAAACTGTTAATGAAGTGAACTTGTCTATGAGAAGTGTTGTATCTATAAAAGAAGTTAACAGAACGTGTTCTAGGTGTATTTTTATTGGATGATATTATTGACTATTCGTGCATTTTTATTGGTCAATAATACATGGTTCCAGTGGGATTTCTCACTGGAACCATTGGAACGCTGGAAAAGTCTGGACGTCCAGTGGTGCTCCAGCTTCCAGTCAACAACACTGCTAAAATTTAGGATATATTCTGACAAAGATATAAACATTCGTCGTTTCAATAAATGATGATTAAAGATTATCTTCACCAAAACGCTAATACTGTAGTTTTAAAATTATTTATGAACTCGACTTATTTTTGGATATAAATGGATGTAAAATATTTTATAATAAATCATTATCAGTACTTTGCTATGCTAACATGTGCGATAAGAGAATTTCGCAAGACGAATGCTACATGTGCAGTATTATTATATAAATCTAATTAAATATAACCACAAGGAAGTTTTTTAAAATTTATAAAGCAAAAAAAAAGATTAAAATGTTAAATACAAGTAAAAAAATATATAAGGATTTTTTCAGGCATCCCTATTATTTAGCCTTTTCCACCATTTTTTAACCTTAGATGTTTTACTATAAATTAGAATGATTGGTAACAGCATAAGAATAACAAGTATCAGGAATAATGAAGGAGATTAGCTAAAGAATTCACCATTTAAATATTCATTCCTTCTAAATAGTGATAGGACTATATGATTAAAAATAGATAGTACAATATATAATACTTAACTGTCACATTTAATAATTTATTAATAATCAATTTTTTTTAATGGATCACTGCGTATGAATTTTAATTCTTAACCCTTCTAGTCCCTTCACTACTTCTAAAGTCTATTATAAACATCTAAACCTCAGCAATGTTTAGGCATCATGTCTTTACCATTATATTTTTTTAAAAAATTGCTTCTTAATGTGACCGGTGGATTATAATAAAATGATTCGTAATATATAGTAAGAAACTCATCAGGATCAAGACTGTATTATTATATTTGCCTTGATATTTTGATGCTAGGTAACACAAATTGCACGAAATTGCTATCAAAAAGGACAGGAACTTTTCCGCCATAATTAATGTAACTAAAGATGTTGGTGAAATTAAATTAGAATGGTGAAATAATTTCATCATTATTGGTGAAATTGGTGTTGAATTTGTAACATTAACATCACCAGCATCTCTAGTTATAACAGTTTAATAGTTATAATATCTAAGACAAGTAATAGACGTTAGGAAAGTAATACTTGTTAGATCATTATAACCTAGATTCGTTAGAATTTCTAAGATTTAATAAAAATATCAACGGAGGTTATAATGAACTCGTGTATCGACTACAAAGGGTGTTTATTAGCAAGATAATCTCGGTTTTTGTAAGTGTCAAATTGATAAGGAGACCTAATTCATTGAGGCATATAATAACTGTGAGAGTTGACTATTTTCCGATTCCAATAAGCCTTGTAGATGTTTTTAATACTAAGGTTATCTGTTATGAAAGAATGGCTACGTACCTCGTAATTATATAACGTACAGTACAGTCAATACAGTATAACTTTAATTATCTAATTATATATACATATTAATTATTTTAAAACTAACATTATTCCCACGTAACATTTGATTATGGGACTTTAACATGCACAGTACGGAAAAAATATAAATTGTTCAATTTGATAAAGAAAACTTATTGGATTAGTTTCTTAAAAAAAGAGTTCAACATTGTAATCATATTCTTCTGAATCCAATTTACGATCTGCCCAAAAGACTCAGCAATATCCATCATTGAACGATTTCATCTACGAACAAGGCCAGGATCACATTCATGAACATCATGTTCCTCTCTTCATCCTTGGTAAATTATTTTCCGAAACTTGTCCATGATCATAATTTCGGGCAATCACAACTTGTAGGGTGCTCATAAAATCGCCATAATTAGGGTAACGTGTTGTAAGTGGGAACGGAATTTAAGTGGATTTGGAATTTCTTAGTATAAAATAAATTCTTCCCGTAATTTTATTAAGAAATTCCAAATCCACTCAAATTCAATTTCCACTTACAACACGTGTATGTTTATTATTGAGGATTTTTTATGTTTTTTTTTAATAATCCCCGATCACTATATCAAGATCACGGGAGGATTAATAATATCCTGATCGTATGTGAATACGTAAGCGGAAACGAAGTTTCCGCTAATTCCCAAGATCAGGATATTATTATTGCTAATTCGGAAAATTAACTTTTAGACCGAGGCAAGGCCTCACACTTTAAAAAAAAAAAAAGAAAATTAAACTTTTTTTTATTTAATGGATAGGATTTCACTGTACTACCGGTAGTACATTGTACTACATACATAGTGACAGTTTTTGAAAACTACCCCAGCATACCCCATAAAAATTCACGTTACACATGATTTATTCGCCACAAATTAAATATTTTATCATTAAATTCCTGATAAAAAATAATAGTATGATGATGCTATGTATATTAAAGACTATTTTAATAGTAAAGATCGCAAGTTTGATTAAATTTTTTTCTGATGGATTCTAATTTGCTTGAAGAAATTCAAAAATTTGAATGTACAGGATGCCGACGTACACTTGCAATAAATGAATTCAATAATTATAAGAATTCTAATAAGCCCTTTTCAACTTGTAATAATTGTCGTAATACAAACAAAGTAAGCAAACAGCAAACTAAATTACGTAAAAGAAAATTGGAAAATGAATTCGATAAGCTAAAATTAGTTGAAAATGAATCCAACAAACTGGAATTCACTAAAAATGAGTTTAATAAACAAGGATTGGTTGAAGATGAATTTGACGAACCAGAAATAGTTGAATTGGATGACTTATCAGATTATTATAGTCATTTATTAATGCTTCATAAAGATGTAATAAATGACAATGAAAAAGAAAATATAGAATTTAAGTTTTTTTGTAATATTAATATGATATCTTTACAGGAAAACTTACAAAAAGATTTAGTAAAACTTATTATTGATTCTATTAAAGATGAAGAAGAATATTTATGGGTGTAAGTTTAAATACTATATTTTTTTTTAAAAAAAATAATACTAATATACTAAAATCTTTTATTAGTTATAAAACTAAATATGTTGGAAAATTTAAATCAACATATTGGTACTATTGTTCTCAGCGAAACTGTATGGCAAAGAAGCCAAAAAAACATCAAGATTTTTCAAAACATCGAGATATACAATCAATGGAACAGTTTGATTGTGATGGATATATTAAAATTACTCTCAATTCTACTACAATGATTGCAACAGTTTATATGTTTCATTGTTATTTATATGCTACTCCACCAAAAATCTCAATATCGCAAGATATTAAAAATTTTATACAAGAACATATCGAGTTATTACCACATGAAATTTATGCAAAACTTATTGCAGATAATTTGGATTTGGCTATATGTCAAAAACAAATCCATTACTGGTAGACAAAACTTGGTAGTACAAGATAAGTAGGACATTTTTAGGAGTTCTGGCACAATTTTTGTTACCGATATCAATCTTGCATATAATTTTGCTTTTGTATCGTCAAATTAATTATTTTTATCTAAAACACATTTATTTAGCCAAATTCATATCAAAAAGGATCAATAATGATAGATTTATGCTCATGTTGTCACTCGAATGACGATAGATCTATGCTCACATTATCATTCGAATAACGATAAATTTATGCTTGCGTCGTCATTCTAGCTCAGTGTTACTATTTTTTGTATATCTAGAAAGCAATCTTCTGCTCAAATTTATATCAAAAAGAGAAC